CCAGAATCACCCAGAGGTCCCCTAGCAGCAGCCCCTCACTTGCACAGGTACTCTCCCTCAGCACGGGGYAGGTTATCGATGAGGATGTAGGTGTGGAGTTTGGTGTCAATCTCCATCAGCTGCAGCCCAAAAACCTGCAGGAGAACAAAGGTTAATCCATTGGTAATCTCCCCCCAAAACCCTCCCAATTTCCCTGCCATGCTTTCCCCACCTCCTGCAGGGTCTTGCCTGCCCTGTTGACAATTTCTGTGTAGTTCTTGTATTTCTGGCCTACAGTCTTCAGCATATCTACAGGAAACAGGTAGGGAATCACTGAGGGAGCCAGGAGCTTTGAGCTCCCCTCAGTTAGTGAGGCTTTAGGGGTCCAAAGGCCGTGGGAGGGGGCCCCCCTAAAATTACCTGCCCTCCTGATAGGGATCTTCTTCTGGTCCTTCACAAGCAGGAACTGAACCAGCTCACTCACCTGTGGGGGAATGAGCAGGGAAGGCCAAGAACGGGCTGAAAACAGAGGAGAGCAGACACAGGACTCCAGGAGCGGGAAGAGAGGGGATCACTGCAATCCACCTTCTGGTTCATCTGGTCCTGGAAAGGCTGGTCCCTCTGGCTCGGGCTGCAATCTTCCTCCCCATCGGTCATCTAAGCAGAAAGGACAGGGGAAGTAGGAGAAGTTGAAGCTGGGGAAGGAATCAAAACAGAGAAGAGAAGAATGGGAGGGGGCAGGGGGAAAGGGGAATGAATGAGGGGAGAAATGAGGGGAGAATGGGGGGATGCAGCCCCTCACCTGAGAGGAGCTGAGCCCTTTGCTGCGCTTCCGCTGGGACATTTCTCACAGCAGCTCCGAGGGAAAAGCAAATGCCGGAAGGACTAAAACCGCGACGAGACCACCACTAAGGCCGCCCCGCGCGCCCCACCCTCAACAGAACCGCCGAGACCCCTCCAAGGCCCGGCAAAACGACTCGGCCCAGACATCAACCGTCACCGCCCGCGCTCCATACGCGACTGCGCTCATCGGCACCGCCCACAACCACCGACCCCTCACACATCAGCCCCGCCCCCTGCCCGCTTTCCATTGGCCCAGCCCCCCGCTCGCTCCGCCCACCGTTTCAGCCCTGCGTTACGATTGGCCGAGACCCCGAGCTCGCCCCGCCCCCGGCGCATGAGAGGAGTCTCGCGCTCCGCCC